GCCAGAGGCTTGTTCAACTGGAGTGGCAGCACCGTCTGCATGCAGTACTGTAGGAAGCTGGGCAGTAGCACGGGACAGATGAACACTGCATGGGGAAAGAAGGCTCTCCACACTCAGAAGAAACAATGGGTGGATGAGGCAGGACAATGTCAGACCAAAGTGGAGCAGATGAGTCTAGGAGGAGGCTCAATGAGTGCTTGGGAGACAGACATAGGTGAGATCATGGCCAGCCTGGTCTACACAGTGAGTTCCAGGCCAGTCAGAGCTATACAGTGAGGCTCTGTCTTGCAAGCAAGCAAGCAAGCAAACTAGCTAGCTAGCTAGCTCAGTGAAGAGCATAGTGAAGTGTACTGCTAGCTAGGTTGTCAGGTATCACTCCCCAAACAGAAGCCTAAGGGGCCAAAAGATAAAGGGAAGAGGCAGCACAGTAGAATAGAAGAGATAGTTGGTCAAAGTCCTGCAATAGAGGAAGTCTCCAGGGAAGACTCAACACAGGCAAACTCAGTATGGTGTCCCTCAGCACTGACCTCACAGGGTAGTGGTGGTCCCACCAGAACGCCAAAGTCCAGTTTGTATTCCCCAGAATTTGTTCACCTGCCATACTCATCACATTCCTCAGAAACTGAAGCACTAAAAACTGGCTAATGGAAGCATGCTAAGTAAACGGAAAGTGAAAGAGAATTACTATGCAGCAGAAAGCTGAAGAGGGCTCAGCAGAAATTCCAGAAGACTCAGAGGTCACTCCAGAAACTTCAGATCCTAGTTCACAGTACTGTAATGCCCGAGTAAAAAGAACTGCAGGATGAACCTACACACTGACAGCCTAGCAGAGGATGTCCTGGGGTGGAGGAGGGAAGATGGAGCCTTTTCTCAAACAGGTGACAGGCTCCCATTTTCAGTCCTTTTTCTATAATTCAGAACCGTGATCTAAGAGAACCAGGGACCCAAATCGTTGACATCCTTGACTGAGCCTTGTGTGATCTCATGACCTCAACACCACTGCTTACGCCGCTTTCAGGACCTATTCCTGAACTCGGGGTTTGGAAGACGTGGTTTCCGCCTTCTAGGGAGTTGGGGAACTGCGTGGGACCTCTTTGTCCAGGGAAGTCCCAGAAATGCAGAGCCTGGCAGAAAGAAAGCACAAGCAGGCAGAGACCTTCAAAAGACTCCCAGGGCAGAGCCGACCACTAGGTGGCAGGGGAGAGGCCTGGGGGGTACTCGCTGGGGGACAACGGTGGCGAGGGTGGGGTAGCATCTCATCAGGCTTCAGAAAGGTGGACAGGTGATCCTGCAATACTACGGCCACGCCGCGACCTCCACTTCCCCGCTCCGGCGCCTCTCCGGCTCCGCCTTGCTGCCTACCAGTCGGTCGGGGATTTCTCGGTCACCACACGCACGTAGGCCTCCTGCAGCGCCGGCCCGTTCCGGCTCAGGTTCACCGCCATGGCACGCCCCACGGTCCAAGCGATGCAGCAGCCTCAGCTTTCTGCCGGCCTCCAGTGACGGCCGGAAGCCCCGCCCCGGCGGCCGGAAGCCTCGCCTCTGACGTGCAGAAGCCGCGCCCAGGAGGCCGGAAGCGGAAGTAGAGAAATTGCGAGCTAGTCTGCGGGTAAATTGAGGCGGGGTGTCTACTAACGAATGAAGATTCGCGAGAGGGTCCTCGTCCGCAGTCCGCAGGGCGTGGGCTTGAGTTAGAGTACCACGCCCCTCCTTTTCTCATTCTTGTTTTAGTTAATGTATTTTGAAAGCAAGTTTAGATCCCCAAGTCGCTCCAGACGTGTACGGCTGAACCTGTGTGTGCGTGCGCTCGGGCGCCTCAGAAACTTAGTCTGATAGTCGGACGCGTTGCCCTATGCCTTTAACCCCAGCATTCGAGAAGCTGAAGCAGGTGGCTCTCTAAGTTCAGCATAGCCCGGTGTACAGCGCAAGTTCCAGGATAGCGAGGGCTATACAGAGAAGCCCTGTTTGGAAAAAAACAAAGAAGAAAAGAAAAAAAAATTAATCTGTGGTGTCAAGCGTGGAGGTACGACCTGTGATCCTAGCGCGCACGAGGCAGTGGCAGAAGCTTGAGTTCTAGACCACCTAAATAAAATAAAATACTTGATGCGACAGTAGGGTAATGGAGAGAACTTGTTTTGTGCTTCACTTCTATTTCAAAACAGTTGCCTAAACTTCCCTATGAGAGACCATAATCATTACTAGACTTAACTAAAATGAACCCTTACTTCTCTAAATTGCTTTTAGTTAGGGCATTTTATCACAGCAACAGAAATGAAACTAGAACAGTGGGGGGTTGAATTTACATTTAAAATGTGACAAGAATGGGGCTGGAAGGCCAGGTTTAGTGATTCACGTCTTTAATCTCAGGACTGGGAGGCAGAGGCAAGCCTGGTCTACATAGTTGAGTTCCAGGACATTGATTGACCCTGTCTCAAAGACAAAAAAGGGGGTTGAGGGGGACTGGAGAGAGAGTTTGGTGTTTAAGACCACTGGCTACTCTTCCAGGAGACCCAGGTTCAATTCCCAGCACCCATGTGGCAGCTCACAGCCCTCTGTAACTCCAGTCCTAGCCCTCTTCTAGTCTCTGCTGGCACTAGATATGGCCATGGTGCACTTAAACAATCACACAATATAAAAATAAGATGGGCATGGTGGCACATGACTTCAATCCCTGAACCTGGGAAGCAAAGGCAGGTAGAATCTATGAGTTTGTGGCCAGCCTGGTCTACATAGTGAATTACTGGGCACAAGTGAGTCCGTATCTCAAAAAGAGTATTAAAAAAGAGACTTCAGCTCCATCTAGCAAGCCCAAGTATTCCGAGAGGTAACATTTGTTGTGTATGTGGTATATGCACATGGGTGGGGGTGTATGCATACTAGTGTGCTGTTGGAGGCCAGAGGACAGTACCAAGTGTCCTGCTCTTTCATTGTCTGCCCTGTTCCTTAGAGGCAGGTCTCTAACTGAGCCTGGAGCTAGGCTGATAGCCAGCAAGCCACAGTGATCCTCCTGTCTCTGCCACTCCATAGTACAGATGTTATAGACAGAGCCAAACCCAGCTCTTTAAGCAGGTGCTGGGTGTTTGAACTTAGGTCTTCAAGCTTGTGCGAAAGTGCACTTTCCCACAGCCTCAATAGTCATCTATTCGTCACAGTTCACTTAAACCAGTGTTCTCAACCTTCCTAATGCTGTGACTCATAGTTTCTTGTGTTGTGCTCATCGTCCATTAGAATGACCTCATTACTACTTCATAACTGCAATATGAATGGTAATGTACAAATCTGATTTACAGGATAGCTGATATGCAACCCACAGCCTAAGAGTCACCAACTTAAACCCATGCATCCCTCTGATCTCTATGGTCCACTACGGGGAAAAAGATCACATTACCCCACAGTTGGCTTTACAGATCGGCTTGCTGTTCAGTTACTGACCTAGGGCTGGGCTTGGAAGTTAATATATACAGATGTGAGTGGCATGGACCACCAACCCAATGGTTTATTTTCAAAATAAGAATTTTGATACAAGAATCTTTCCCCCAGGTTGACCAGAGCCCTAGGAGCATGACAAAAAGATGCTCCTTCTCAGTGGCAGAGAACCCAAAGGATTTGCCTGAGCACATGACTGTCCAAGTGGTTTGGCTAGCATAAAAGCTCATTTTAGGTTTGCAATCAATTAGTAAAAATTTACCCTGGGACATCACAGGGCTAAATGTTTCCTCTTTCTACTACTTATTCTCCAGTAGAGGACTGGCTTGGAGATTGTGTGGCATTATAAACCATGCTTGAAAGATTGAAGTATGGATGCTTATAGCACTAACACCATGGAGGACCAGGCCTTTCTTTCCCCTCTGCTGGCCTCTGATGTGAAACTGTGCCCTGTCCTGGCTCGATTGTTATCTACAAAGTGATATGTGCTGCTAAGCTGAGGTGTATGACTTCACATAGCACATGGTATTGCAGTCTGAGAGAGAGCATGTGCTAACAGCGTTGCATAACACTTCAGAAGAAAATTCTTAAGCAGGAATTTAAAGAGCAACTCTCAGTAGGTTGAGAAGCAAGGAACAAAGACTAAGCACACCAAAGAGACTGTGGTTAGGACATCTTAAATGTGTGCAAATGCAGGACTTTGCTGAAGTGGTGAGAACGGTGCTCTCACTGGCATTGGTTAACTTCTATTGTGGAATAGTCTTATGTGGCTGAGGCTAGCCTTGAACCTCCTTCCTCCTCCACTTCCTTACCTTGTCTTTTTAGTGGTAGAGTTTTTTTCTTCTCTCCCCTTTCTGATTCACTATTCACTGGAAATAGACCAGTTTTATAATCAAGTCAGAAGACTAAATTAAGGCTAGGTGTTATGGGTATACCTGTTCTCTCTTGGTGTCAATGAATCTCTTAGGCCAACCTGGACTATATTGTAAGAGCTCATCTAAACAACAACAACAACAACAACAAAAACAAAAAACCTTCAGTGTAAACTCTTCGGATCTCTTCCTTCTTTCTAATCCTTTGTAGAAATTTCTTTCCTAGCCAGATGTGGTGGCACATGCTAATAAGCCCAGCTTTCAGAAGACTTGAGACAGGAGGATTCAAGATCTGCTCAGGCAGGCTGGAGAGATGGCTCAGAGGTTAAGAGTATGGACTGCTCTTCCAGAGGTCCTGAGTTCAATTCCCAGCAACTACATGGTGGCTCACAACCATCTGTAATGGGACCTGATGCCCTCTTCTGGTGTGTCTGATGATAGCTACAGTGTACTCATATACATAAATAAACCTTAAAAAAAAAAAAAGAAAAGAAAGATCTGGTCAGGCTACCTAAGAAGCCTTTCACAAAGCAATTCTTTTACATGCACAGATAAACCCGCCCTTGTGTTTTCCTAGGTCTGAACTCTTAAGATGTGTGATCTACCAGAAAGTCTACAGAAGCCAAGTAGTTAAAGCCTAATCAAGTCTCTTAAGAACTTGTTAGGTTTATTTTCTGAAAAAAAGAAAAAAGGAGACTTAAATATAAATTGTCACTTCTGAAGGAATTTCCTTTTTATTTCCATTTAAAGTCCCTCTCCTTCCTTGTGTTCCAGTCTGTGAATGGCTTATGCTTGAATTTCATGTTAAGTTTCCAGTGGGAAAGCCTCATTACTTATAAAAGCATAACCCAAATCTCTCCATGTCTGAGAATCCCATGCTCTTTCTTGGGGTGTTGCATGCTTTAAATGCCCTGATACTCTTCACTTGCTGTTTGCAGCATATAGCACTACAGAGGAAGGTGGCGGAAGATGGCTTTCAGGGAATGCTGTTCCAATTTCCAGGAGCCTCCAGGATGCACTCCGACTCCTGAGGAGTTCTGTGGCAGACTCTGGCAGACAAAGTATAAAGAGGCCCACTCTGCCTGGGCCCTCAGGAAAGCACTGTGCTCTAAAGGCAAAGGGCATGTGGTCAGGGAGCAGACTGGGCCACTGTATAGTGCCACAGTGAGTAGTGGCACCATTTGAGGACAGGTACTGGAGGCATGCATGGCTTGGTTCCCCAGACACAAGCAGACAGACTGGAGCCTAGATGGATTCTAGTGTAACCAAGAAGACTGTAGATCAAAACAGTGGTTGCTGATTTGGCATCAAGGTGTGGTATTGTCAAGGCCACAATGGCTGAAAGTGGCACCAACATGCTGCAGCCAGAGAAGTAAGTACCAACAGAGGATGTGTGAACAGAGGATGAGTTCTGTGAGTGCTTTAGTCAATAGCTCAGGGCTTCATAGGAAGGCCACTCTGCCTGGCAAGCTTCTCTTGGACAGGGTCTCCCATGGAGCCTCCGAGGCACTTACATAGCATATTTCTGTGTCCACTCTCTTGCTAGTCTGTTGTACCTAGAAGAGATAAGCAGACGGAGCAAGACATCAGTTGAAATGATTATCCTTTCAGTGTAGAGCACAGAACAAGAGAGGGATGCTGCTGCCTGTCAGGCATCTGGGGCTGATGGATGAGTGAAACAAAGGCTACCTTGGAAAAGCAGCACTTCAGGCATGATGTAACCCATTAGCTTGGTGATTCTTGTTGCTCATCCATAACTGTGGTGGAACATGGCAATAATGCAAAACTCATCTTTTCATTCTTATACCCTTCAGTATGAATACAAGATGTGGAAGGAGTGCAGCTTGGACTATTCCAGGCTGTCTAGCACACAAAACTCCAGAATGGTGGCATAGTCCGTGACTGCACAAGGCCTTGTGCAGGGGGGTCTCCTGTGTACTAGCTCCCCTGACTGTTTACCATGAGACACCATCTACTTTGTGGGGCTGTTGGGAGGACTGGACAAGTCTATGTAAAGCTCATGGGTGACGCGCGGCACCTAGGGAGGGCTCTGTACGTATGTGAATTTACCTTCACATTGTAATGAGAACTGATGCCATACAACAGTAAGTTAGAAATGTGTAGAGGATACTGAGAAAATAGTTCTGTCTATCTTTAAAACAGCTCCTACTAAATGTTAAAATAAATACAGCTGAAGCCAGGCATAGTAGTGCACTATGATCCCAGCATCAAACGGCAGAGGTGGGTGGACAAGGCCAGACAGGGCTATTCAGTGAGATCCTATCTCAAACACCACCACTACCAAAACAAACAAGCACAACTCTTCAAATGCAGTCAGTTTAAATGTACTTTGATTGCTACCGGGAAACTTCACTAAGGAAGTCAGATTTATAAAGACCTCAAGAAAAATTCTGGGGAAAAAAATCACTTTCTATACTAATCTCTTTAGATAAAAATACCTTATGAACTAAAAGACTTATTGAAGATAATCTTTAAAAGAGCAAATACTGGGGACTGGAGAAATGGCTCAGTGGTTAAGAGCACTGGCTGCTCTTCTTGAGGACCCAGGTTCAATTCCCAGTACCTGCATGGCAGCTAACAACCTTCTGTAATTCTATTTCCAGGGGATCTAATGCCCTCTTCTTGCCTTTCTGAGGATGTGGTGTACATACATACATGCAGGCAAAACACCCATATACACAGAATTAAAAATCTCTAATAAAAAAAAAAATCCAGACCCAGAGCCACACACTGGGCCGTGCTGTTAGCAGGACGGCTACATTTGACCCCTGCTCAGAGACTGACCCTTGATAGTGACTCCTGTATGTGCTTTAGCAACCAAGCTTTGGTGCAGCACTGTGCCTGGCCAAGGGAGGGGGTCCTGCAAGTCTGGGTCTAGAAACCAGTGTGTGCACAGCTGGCAGTGAGGGCTGGGTCTTCTGATCAGTCACACACTTCAGACTTCTATCTTAACCAGCAAGCTAACCGTGGCAGTGTCCCCCACCTTGACTGGCTTATTCTGGGGGTGTCCAAGAAACTCCCTTATTTATGTCATAAACTTTTTAATTTAATCCAGAATTTTCTTGTCATATTCTTCTGAGGCTGTTGTTGGCTGTCCTCAGGTCAGGGCTTGACAGTATTTTAGGCTTCAGCAATGGTAGCTGGTAGCTATCCACAGGGCAAAGTGCTTTTATCCCTTCTCCCTCCTCTGGTCAAAGGACATGTTAGTTATAAAGCCAGGAAGCTATGCTCAGGGCACACCCACTGCATACATGGGCTTGGCTTGGGCAGGAAGATGTCCGTGGGAACCTGGGCAGCTGCACACAAAGCCAACTCAAAGAGGGTGCATACTTCTCTCTGTCGGCCTTGTAAATGTGGGCTATTTCTGGCACCAGCGGGTCATCAGGGTTGGGGTCGCAGAGCAGAGAGCAGATGGACAGGAGAACTAGGAAGAAAAGAAAGGGTCAGTCAGCTGAGGCCCTGAGGTACTGGTTCCTTGTGGGCCCAGTGAACCTCCGAAGTACAATTTCTGTTTCCTTAATGCTCCAATTTAAGGATTCTATTCAAGTCATGATAACATTTGATGTTAAAATACCAGCAGTACACACACGACAGTGTAGTCACAGCACACTGTTCTAGGATACCTCCTTCCTCCATGTGGGCCTGGCCTTTACTTCCCTCCTTCACTGAAACCTCTGTGGTCTTAGTGCTCACACTCTTCCAACCCCTCAGTCTGTACCCACACCGCATATCTTTAGTGCCCCCGAAGTCTTTGTTTACTGGCCAGAAAACAGGAATTCAGAATACTGCAGTTAGAGACTCTGAACTGGGACTGCATCCCCTCCCCCCTGCTTCTGTGCTCTCCTGTGTTGGGGACAATGTCAGAGGACTTCTGTGCTCTCCTGTGTTGAGGACAATGTCAGAGGACTTGGACAAAGGAAGTGAGTTACCAGGGTTTGCTGAGCAACAGATGAAGTGTTGAGAACTGTATTTGTGCTTCGCCCTAAATCCACCATGACTCAAAATAAACTGGCTTCAGTGAGTCTAAAGTCCTGATCACAGTTTCCTACAGGTAAAGCTACCCATGGGAAGGGCAGGTTCCATTAATGAAGACACTCAACTCTTCTGATGTTCTGAAGGCCTGGCACTCTAGGGCTGTGGGCATCCCTCCACCCCACTCAGGCTGTCTGTCCTTCCTCAAGTGCCCTTACTGCCATTCCCCTTTCCTCCGTCTTTTCTGACTCCTTACCTAAGATCTGCTGGCCCTGGAGGCTGGCAGACTGGCGGCTGCCTCTGCCTTTCCTGGCAGTGGGATAAGGCTGCCTATCTGAGGCACAACCCAGAAAAGAGCCATTTTGGCAGAATGCTGGCCTGTTTCCTAGATGTGTCACCCTGACAGAGTACACTGTGACCCTGCACAGTACAGTAGTTCTGTCCTTCTGGATTTACCATATCTATCTCTGCAGGCCTTTTTTTTTTTTTTTTTTTTGCATCCAAAGCCTGTCCTGCCAGTTGTCCCGTAGTTGTCTGAGGTCTCTCCCAGTGCCTAAAGCCTCATGCTCCACTTACTTGGGGCAGGTGGCTTGTCCTACATGCCCATGCCTGTACTCAGTCTCTGTTCCAGCATACCTACAGTTCTATAACATGGTTTAGATTCGATTGTTTTTTGTTTTTTTTTGTTTTTTTGAGGGGGTCCCTCCTAGGCTGGCCCTCAACTCTTGATCCCCCTGTCTCATGAGAGCTTTGATTATAGGTGTGAGCCTTGAATTTTTAATGTTGTCCACCAATATGTTCATTATCACTTGTTTTGGGAAAAGAAAATTTCTTCACAGACTCTGGAGATCAGGCCGTGTATCTGACCTTTTAGAAATGACTCAAGTCTGCGCTGGTCTGTAGAGGAAGGAAGGAAGGAAGGAAGGAAGGAAGGAAGGAAGGAAGGAAGGGAAAAGTTTAATATTTGCCTTCTGACTTTTAGGTGAAAATGCAAGTAAAGTTGGTACTGTCTTCTTGTACCATTTGACAGTTTTGAGCATCACACAGCGACTGACTCCTGGGGATTACTAGGGCATAGGTACTGTGCTTTACAATGGCATCGCCTTACAGTGTGGAGAATGAGGTAGGCATGGGACTGGGTGGGGCTACATGATCTGGGGAAGCCATTTGTTCTTCCTGGGCTTCCATGTCCACTAGTCAGCATGGGGGAGCATGAGACAGCCTGCTGGGTACATGTCAGTGTCTCTACCTTTGGACACAGTCAATGCTGGGGACCACTGTGACCTCAGGATGTCCAGGCAAATGCTGCCATTGCTGTTGATATTAGGGTGATAGATTCTGGTAGTGAAAGCAACCTGTAAAAACAAGACATCAAGTCAGATAAGCCACAGGGAAGTCTGGAAAGTAAGCCAAGTGAAGAGGAAGTAGCTGGTGCTGAGCCATGTTGGCAGTATACCCACCCAGCTTCCTGTGGGGCATACACAGGCAGGCAGCCTTTAGAGAAGTAAAAGCACCCTGACCCATATCTTACTGGATTCTCATTTTGAATATGGGGGATTGCAGGGTGCCATGAATAGCCAGCAGAGTGGTAGAATGAACCCAAAAGCCCAGATATCTATGCAAAACACAACTCCAATTATGGTTATAATGAAGAAACAGTCAGCATAAGAAACAGCCAGATAAAATTCACCCCTCACTCTCTGCTTAACTATTTCAGTCTAGGTGGGTTAGATGGGAAAAACGAAAAACAAAAAACAAAAAACAAAACCCCCAAACGTTTTTTGTTTGTTTTTATGAGACAAGGGTCTCACTATGTGGCTGTCCTGGAACTCACTATGGAGACCAAGTTAGCCTCAAATTTACAGAGATCTGCCTACCTCTGCCTTCCAAGTGTTGCGATTAAAGATGTGTGCCACTGTGTCCAGTTGAAAATTTTTACCTCAGCCATCATTGGTTTTGGCTGAACACCAAGCATGGGCATTTTGTTTTGTCAAGGAAAAAAGCACCACGGGACTACGATGTACCATTAACAGGTAATCTCAGCTTCCACCTATTTAAACTCTCTTCTCAGAGCTCACCTTTCAGTCTTAGGCTACAGCACCTTGAACCCGCCTGGCCTCTTCTGATCTCAGACTCTAAATGGGATCAGGCCTGAGTAGAACTTGGACAAGAGCATCATCTAGCCTTCAAATGCTTACTATTGGCCCTCTCCCACACGCTTAGGCAGGGTCTGTGTAGCTCAGGCTGACCAACTCTATAGGTATCCTGAATAGGTCTCTAACTTTACATCTTGCACCAGTTTCCTGAGTGCTACAGATGTCCCCCACCATACCCAGCTCACAAATCACGTCTTAATAGGATCTCTCTGGGTCTGAGTTCTCTCATCAGGAACATGTTGATGTGCCCTGGTGCCATGGAATTCATGTGGCAGGGAATGGCATAGCCACTGCTGACTAGAAACAGAGTGGCTGTGGTTATTCACTTCTCTGGGCCTCCTAACAGGCCCTTGTGGAGGGGAGGAACGGCTCATGAAGTACACAACACTGCCAATGGGTGGCCCAGGAGGAAGGCTGCTGGGAAAGAGGAGAAAATTATTTTTTTTCCTTTCTTTTTTGTGTGATTTTTTTTTTTAATTTTATATATGTGAAAACACTGTAGCTGTCTCAGACACATCTGAAGAGAGCATCCGACCCCATTACAGATGATTGTGAGCCACCATGAGGCTACTGGGAATTCAATTCAGGACCTCTGGAAGAAGAGTCAGTGCCCTTAACTGCTGAGCCAGCTCCCCAGCCCCTGAGAAAATTCTTTTAAAGACTAATTTATTTTTATTTTATGTGCACTAGCATTTTGCCTGCACCATGTGTGTGCAGTGCCTACATAGATCAGAAGAGGGAGTCCAAACCCACAAACTGGAGTTATAGATGGTTATGAGGTACCATGTGGGTATGAAGAATCAAACTTGGGTCCTCTGGAAGAGAGGCAAATGCTCTTAACCACTGAACCATCACCACAGCCTGAGAGAGACCATTTTTTTGATTGTATAGCTACCCCTATTTTACCTGTTCTTCCAGAGCTAACTCCTGTTCCTTTCAGTAATCCCAACTGAACTCACTGCTCACCAAGCTAGCCTTGGGTGGTGTCATTCTTGGGTCTGTCTGCCATAGTTGCCCTATTTAGGGTGAATACATCTCTCCCCAGGAAACTAAGCTGATACCAGAGTTGAAATGGAATCTATGATTTATCTTCCACACCAAAGACAAATTTCTCCAAATCATGTGTATTTTAACTGTCTAAGGAACAGGATGAGAATCAGGTTTCTCTACAGTCTTACACCTACCAACTCTACCAATGAGTCCTAAAATATACTTTAAAAAAAAAGTGGGGGCTGGAGAGATGGCTCAGTGGTTAAGAGCACTGACTGCACTTCCAGAGGTCCTGAGTCCAAATCCCAGCAACCACATGGTGGCTCACAACCATCTGTAATGAGATCTGATGCCCTCTTCTGGTGTGTCTGAAGACAGCTACAGTGTATTCATATATAATAACTAAATAAATCTTTAAAAAAAAAAGTGTACTTTCCATCAGGGCATGAAGACGGCAAGGGCAGTGTGAATGCGTATTTGAAGATCTTTTACCACATGCTTTTCTCAGGTAGGGCCTAACTTCAAAGCTTCAGGTGTTATCTGTCTCAGTGTCTTTCATAACAAACAGTCTTGCTCAATTTCTCCTAGGATCAGAAAATCCTTGTCTAAACACTGATACATTTTCTTTAATTCAAAGAAAACCCTTTGCTCTTTTAAGAAACACACCAACTGTATGGTATGTGCCACTATGCTGGGCCTTACTTTATGTTTGAGACAGGTTTTTAGTATGTAGCCTAAGCTGTTCTCAAACTGGAGATCCTCCTGTTTGAAGCTTCTAAATACTTGAACTACAGATCTGTATTAGTATTTTTTGACATTTTTTTTGAGGTAGGGTCTCATGTAGCCCAGGCTGGCCAGGGAACTCCTGATCTTTCTGGATCTACCTTTCAAAAGCTGGGATTACATGCATAAGCTATCTCGTTACCTTTTGCCATATAATAACAACTAATTATTATTAATATTATTCTTTTTTTAAGGTTGTTATATTTATTTATTATATGTAAGTACACTGTAGCTGTCTTCAGACAACCATACGAGAGCATCAGATCTCATTGCAGATGGTTGTGAGCCACCATGTGGTTGCTGGGATTTGAACTCATGACCTCTAGGAGAGCAGTCAGTGCTCTTAACCACTGAGCCATTTCACCAGCCCCATTAATATTATTCTTACAATAATAATTAGAGTGAACACAGAACATGTATGGAGGTAGAGGCCTACTTTCTTTTTTTTGTTTTTTGTTTTTTGATCTTTGTTTTTCGAGACAGGGTTTCTCTGTGTAGCCCTGGCTGTCCTGGTATTCACTCTGTAGACCAGGCTAGCCTCAAACTCAGAAATCCGCCTGCCTCTGCCTCCCAAGTGCTGGGATTAAAGGTGTGCGCCACCACCGCCTGGTGAGGCCTACTTTCATTGGTTGTTTCTCCGTTGCCTCTGTCATGCTCCTTAACTGATGCCCACATAGTGGTTATGCAGACCCCACTCTCAGCTGTAATACTTGGGCCTTCTCTCCCCATAGGAATTTCCTGCTCACAAAGGCTTGCTCTCTTGAGGTGTCCATTGTAGTCACCTCCCTGCTTGAACTTATGCAGTGCCTGCTCATTAGAGAAATAGCCACTGCCATGGCCAGGTGCCAAGGGCAGGGTAGGGAGACAGAGGAAGGATGTTAGATTCCTGGGAGAGGGAAGCCCCCACCCCTGGGAAGTACAGAGATCAGGCCCGAGAGCTGGAGAAGTGAGAGCACACAGCCATGGAAGAGCCCGGGAAGAGAGGCCCCAGGGGTAGCAGAGGTGAAATATAAATTTTAGTAAATAATATTATTCAAGAGTATTGAAGGGGAGGCATTAGCAACATGGAAGTTTTGGAGTGGCCCAGCTGTTGAGCTCCTTAGGGAATATTAAAATGAAATGGTTATAATTTTGGACAGGGAGGAAATACATGCGATGGATTACTAAATTTATTCTTAAACAAAGTATTGAATAACTATAATCTTATATTGGTAGAAACCTTTATAGTTGATACAAAATTGAAGTTATAATTTCTTACATTGGTTCAGAATTTATATATTGATACAGATTTAAGGTTTTCATTGGTATAAATATTTGTATATTGATACAAAATTTGAAATTAATATTGTTACTCTTAGATAGGCATTGTGTTCTTAAATGAGTTGCATAGGGACAATGCCTATCTAAAAGTAACAATAGTAATTGAATAGCCATAATCTTGTATTGGTAGAAATCTTTATAGTTAATACAAAATTGAAGTTATAATAGCTGCTATTACAAACTCTTTAGGATAATTAAGTAATGCAAATTAAGGGCCAGATAGTAAACTTATGGTTATATTAGATTCTGATTTAGCCGGGCGGTGGTGGTGCACGCCTTTAATCCCAGCACTCGGGAGGCAGAGGCAGGTGGATTTCTGAGTTCGAGGCCAGCCTGGTCTACAGAGTGAGTTCCAGGACAGCCAGGGCTACACAGAGAAACCCTGTCTCAAAAAACCAAAAAAAAAAAAATTCTGATTTAATTATAGTAAAGTGTTTTCAAAATTATTCAAATAGAAACAGCTAAGAGTAGTCAAGGCTTAACAGTTCAGATATACTTTATAGAGATAGTCTTCAAAAACATCAGAAACCCACAGAATATGGCATCTATAATCATTTCATCATTATTAGATTTTTGACTAAGAGACATGTCAGCTCCCAACAGTACCCTCTTCATGGTTTAAAGATATTGAGTATCAAAACCTCTATATGGAGTTGTTCCAGTTGTGGCAAGGTAGCCACTGGGCTAGAATTGCCCTAATTCATCTACAGACAAAAATACTGTCTAGGAAAGGACACAAGATGCGAGATAGTTGACAGCTTAACTCTGCCAAGACAGAGTAAGCTAGTCCTTCATATTTCCTGCTTCATTTAAGGTCTGACAGATGGTTATGGCCCAGAAGGCTGAAGATAGATGCTCTGATGTTTTGAGGAATAGGGAACTGTCAAGGTAGTCAGCTGTCTCTGCAATTTATTTAAGGTTTGGGAGCAATGTTTTTGTACTTTCTATATATTCAGGTAATATTCAATTTGTTCTCGGATTTCTGATGGGGTTCAAGATGAATTATAGTCTCATAATCAAACTTAAGTTGTTTAGCATTGAGGAAGATGATGTAGATTTGATAGGATGGTTTTCAGATGGTAATGCAAGTTAAAATCAGAATATAATTCAGGTATAGAATTGTAATAGATGTTCGAGTAATGTACCTATGTTGACAAGATTGATGGACTGGACATTATTAGTGTATATCATACCTTATAGTTTACATAACTGCTATAACTATGTTCAATATACATCTGAGAGAAAAGGTCTTTTTAGTGGGCGAAAAGGGTGAGATGTTGTGGATTGGTTCTAATGCTATTTGTGTTAATTCTGTTCCCCAAATTACACAGGAACCTGCTTGTCTGCCTGTAAGACACTGAGGGTCCCTGCCCCCAGTTGGCTTTGATTGGTGAATAAAAGTTGCCAGTGGCCATGGGTTGGCAGGGAGACAGAGATTAGATTTCTTGGGCAAGGGAACCCTCAGGAGGAAGAGGTTTTTGGAATCTCCATGCCAAGGAAGCAGAAAGATCAGGTCTGAGAGCTGGAGAAGCAAGAATGTACAACCATGTAAAAGCCAGGGAAGAGTGGCCCCAAGGGCCCCTCCCACGACTGGCTTTGGGGTAGTGGAGGTGAAATTTTAGTGAGTAATAATTCAGGAGTATCGGAGGGGAGGAGTTAGCAACTTGGAAGTTTGGGAGTGGCTGAGCTGTTGAGCTCCTTTAGGACATATTAAAATAGAAGACTGTGTGTGTGTCTTTCATCCGAGAACCCACAGCATTGGAGCAGTAGCTAGAATCATGTGCATACATGGTGAGGAGTTAAGAGAAGATTAACCATAATATCATTACACAGGTCTCTCCTGTTCATTGATGGAATTGTTCTCTGAGCCTTTATAGAGGTAATAGTGTAATGGCTAGTTGTTATTGTTAACTTGACAAAATCTAGAATCCCCTAGGAAAAGGGTCTCAATGAAGGATTGTTAGGATCAAGATGGCCTGTATGGGATTGTCTATGCTACATTAACTGAGGTGGGAAGATCTCTGTGGCTGGCACTATTCCTTAGGCTGAGAATGCTGAACAGCACACAAACAGAAAAAGGGAACTCAGTTTAAGAATGCATGCACTAGGGCTGAAGAGACGGCTCAGTGGTCATGAGTACTTGTTGCCCTTGCAGAGGACCCATGTTCAGTTCCCAGGACACATGTGGCAACAACGGGCTGCACCTCCAGCACAAAGGGAGCCGACACCTTATCTGACCTCGGCAGGCACCAGGCTTGCATGCAGTGCATATACATAGAGGCAGGCAAAACACTCATGTGCATAACATGGAATAAATACTAATGTGTACATTTCATTCCACTTTGCTTCTTGATTATGGATACAATGGGACCAGTTGTCTCCAGCTCCTGCTGTGTGGCTCCTCTGAAATGATGGACTGTAACCAGAAACTGTGAACCGAAATAGACTCTCCCTAAGTCACTTCTGTCAGGTATTTATTCAAGCAAAAGAAATGAAACTAAGACACAGGGGTAGCTGGTCTTTGACTACTTGGTGGGTTCTTCTTTCCTCTACCCTTCTCCACTCTTTTCCCACCCTTTAACCTCCTAACATTAGGTAGAAGAGAAAAAAAGATAGAAAGGAAATGAGGCAATGTTATCATTAGACTACTTCCTGTTGAATAGGGCATCGAGTTCATTGGGACAAACTTGACTGTCACTGTCAGGATATCTAATTTCTTCTTTCTTTCTTTCTTTCTTTCTTTCTTTCTTTCTTTCTTTCTTTC